AATATTTGAAAATCAAGAATGTATAAAGATCGAAACACTTTGAGAGCTATATGATAAAAAAGACCCCAAAAGGAAAGCCAATTTCAATTGGTGCACTATAAAGAGATTCACATACTTTTATCTCGAAATTTGAATTGTATTTGTCCTAGACTCGAAAAAGGATAGAAATGCTCGTAAAAGCGTCGCATACTTCCTGTTTCTATGCTTTCTACACATACATTTCATATTTTGAGAAAATGTATGTTTATTCTATATGTTCATGTTCCTTGCATATACTTGAATACAATAATCCAAAGAAATTCACTATGAGATTATTATTTTCCATCCAATGGACCCTTGGATTGTAAAGTACAAGAGATTCATATCAAATATCTTCTTTTTCCTGTTTGTAATGGATTTTGTAAACATCTTCTACATAGACAATGACAGACATGAATGCTATTTCTCATTTGAAAACATATTTGCTACATTTATGAAGTTTATGAACATGGAAATTGTCAAGAGCAAATGGAATCTGTTATCAACATTTTAAAATGTATCAAAATGCAATATCGTAAATTCATAATTGCGTGGGTGCATTAACTACTGTAACAATAATTGTCAAAAGAGAAAAAAAAAACACGAACGAAATTTAAAAACTTTAAATCTTATTCAGCCGAAACATTTCTTTTTGGTAGTTTAAACAGGTCACGTAAGTATAAAGATAAATGATTTGCCATTGGCTACCGACTACGTTATGTGTCCACAACTATATATATATTAACATATATATGACAATACGAGTTCAATGAATCAAGTCATATACAAAGTAATAAGCTGATACAATTATGGATTTCCTTTTTGGAATACTTAAAAGTTTCAGCATGCGATAGGGATATATTGCATGGAGAATTAACTAATTTCACATTACACTGCAACTTTGCTTTTTGCGCAGTCAAATTGTATTGTATTACGAAATATTATACATACTAATAACTTTTATTAAAGAAACCCTAGGGATAAACTTTAAGCCTAAAATGACGCGAGTTGAAAAGAAAGAGCCAGACTCCCCCATAAGAACAAAAGTTATCAGATTTTTATTAAATATCTTGACCATTTGGACATGTACGAACATATCTCAGCACATGTTTTATTTCAAGCAACTTGGAGAAAACCATCGGGTTATAAATAATGTTCCATGTCTTCAAAAGCCTGGATGTCCCCTTTTTGACATATAATTCAAATTTAACGATCACACCCATTTTCAACCAATTAAATCAGCGCACTGTAAAATCAAAGCTACAATGCACAATTCAAACATTTTTATTCTGAAAAATTATTTTTTTTCGTAATATTTCGATAGGGGAACGTAAATCGTATGTTGATCAACTTATCAGGAAATCTGATCATCATGATCATCATGATCATAGCAAAATTGTAAAATATAAATATTTGAACTCTAAACACAGTTGTCATACAATTTATAACAGATATTGCTATATTGTAAGATGGGTCAGACTTGCTCCAAGATATATATACAGTGATATTCATACACTTTTCTTTACTTATAGAAAAACACAGGCATTACAAAAAAATAACATATGACAAAAACATATAAAACTAAAGCAATGAGCACACAATTTAGCGCAAACTCCAAGTAGATATATCTTCTATTGGCAATGACAAATTGTTTTTGGAAATAGAAACGTCCTCCTTTTGTTCGAAATACCATGTCATGATAGCATTAATATTCATTTTGCGACAATATATAGAACTACGCACTACTGTATAGTTTGAAATAATGATAATTTATATTTTTTTTCGTTTTCCAGTTTTCCAGTTTACTGTGCATATAGATATGTATGATAAGGTTAAAATTCGATATCTTATGATAGTCGTAGCAAAATGGGATAGAAACAGAATGATTAAATATAATTAAGCTAGGTAATATTAACATAACTTTGGTCTATACAATTCCATGCTAAAAACATAGCAAAACGAAAATTGAATCATAATTGTTTGGTTAGAATAATGCAAACCAAATGAGATAAATAATTTAAAATTCACCACTAAAACACTCGTGTATACTTGGTAGGACTTTTTTTAAATAGAAATAAATAATCATTTTTACGGAGGAATTCCTTGATAAGTATTTATCTTTTTCAACACTCATTTGGTAAATGAACAAATATGTTCATCAACATCTACACAACTGTTGATTTTTAAACTGCAGTAAAACTGAATAAAATTACACTGGTATCGAACATAATATAATCGTGTTATCTTATAAACAGCTAGTCGCAAACAATATTGCTAAAGACAGGTGAATAACTAAATTGGTTACTGAAAAAAGAAAGAAATTCAGAAATAATTTCGCATATCCTGCAATGTTCAGAGCAAAACAAAATGCTATGAATTAATAATAGAACTAGAGCATTTCCTATGCATGATATAAAGGTACACTCCTGACTTCAAAAAACTAAGTTATTTCTACATGGAGTCAATTAATCGACGTTCTCCCACAATTGCTATCGTTTTGTCGTTTAATAATTAGTTTCTATTATTTCAGGTATGCAATGGAAGATAATCAATCACAATACATATTCACAACACGTAAACAGCATTGTTTCTATTTTTCACTCGATTCCGAAAAGTGTATATAGATATCAACGGATGTCCTTGATTGGGACATATCGTCAGCTGCCCAGTCAAACATTTCTGGGTTAAAAGTACTTTTACCTCGAGATGAAATGCGCAAAGGGGGGTCTGCAGTTTTGTTTATCACGGCAATGCGGCATTTACTAGAAGCAATTTGTCTCTTTTCTTAGAAAACAACTTAGTGTTTACATCAACATATCATTAAAATTTCTTGTTCATTGAATTAACCAAAATGAACTGTGGGCTACTGTGCAATAACGTTTCTCCATTATAAGTATTCTGTAAACAGGAAATTAATGAACGATTGATATAAAATGCCATACATGAAATATTATGCCATTAGAAGGAACAACTATACGGTGACACGCTTCCAAAAAGCAAGAAAACAATTTTTGGTTTATAGTTTCTTAAACAAAATACTTTGCAAAGTCTCTAAAATGCATGATCATTGTGGGTAATAATATTCATATAATAGGAGTTTACGTAAAAGAATGGTTGATGTGAAAACATCTCACACGGTATATACATGACACATGTTCATGTGAGGCTTGATACAAATTTAAATTAAAAATTTAATAAAACAATCATACACATCGTTTTTGTGTGTAAATCACATAACATAAACTGCTGGATAAAGGAATTAGATATTGCTAATACACTTAAAAACTCAACATGTACACCTACGACACTACAGTCTTGAATACTCACAGGTCTGTTCCGTGTTCCTTTTAGAATTTCAATCAAACATGAAGAACTGTATCTTCCTTCATTGTACTGGATACTTAAATTACATAAGTGTCTTTCCACAAAACCTCTTTCGAAACTATTTATATCAATCTTATCAGCAATCCAAGACGGGCTTCAAAGAAATTGTGAAACTTCCTACTCTAGCGGTGTTATCAGATGTGGATACTTAAAAGTGCCAGACATCTGTTAGAGTACACACATTCAAAGTCTCTTTCATCATGAAATAGTATAAACAAAATTGACATATCTACTCTTTGCACAAGTATTCATTATTCCAAATAACTGACAAACTAAAACAATTGGTCCTACTGTGTTTCGTAAAAAAGAATGACTAATTGAAATACAAATATCTTGTTTTAAATCAAACTTTGTATAGAAAAACCCTTGTTCACTGATTTTTTTATTGACAACATATTTTTTACGTTTGAAGGACTTTTAATTCACCAAACAATTAGCATTCCCTTTGGGAACTAATTGTGCTCCTTTTCTTGTCGACTTGTATCTTTATTCATATTAGGCCGACTTCATACAGAAGCTTCTCAGGAAGAATTAACAGAAGCTTGCATTATTATTAATATCACGGTCCGCTATATAGATGATGTACTACATAATTCATGAGTTTGGTGACTATTTGAAATTTATAAAATTATCTATTTCATCAAACTTGTCATAATAGAGGATAAAATAGATACATTCAAGTCTTCCTAATAGCCTGACTTACATCTAAAAGTTGACAATGAAGGTCGCTTGAGTGCAATTTTTTACAACAAAACGATCTCCCAGTTGATACGATACTTCAGAGCTTTCATTGTCTTGATAGAGGATTGCTGCTTACAAGGAATTAATAAAACAAATGGTTCGAAGAGGTGCAGGTTGACGTCATCCCATCGAAAAGTTCAACGGACTCTATTACGAGTTGGTTGATTGTCATTGAGATCTGTTTCACAGATGACGACAAACACGTTCCAATTGTACGTGTCGTAACCAAAGTCCTGTCCTCTTGTCATCGAATCTGACATCAGAGACTTAGACATATCACCAAATTTGTACTTACACGAATCCGACGGATGCCGCATGTGGAGCAGGATATGCGTACTCGTCTGGAGCATCTGGGAAAACCTCTGGTTAATAACATTAACGGTACCAATTTTACTGCATTAGGTTGGCATTTCGACAATAAATGTCTCTTCAGTGATGATCGAGGTTCAAATATACAAACTAAAATAAGCCTCGAAGAGCTGATCAAACCAAAAAGGGCTTAAGGTAAAGCCAAACCCGGACAAGAAATCAGAGCTTAGCGGGATATATATTCCCTAATTTATGATGTTTCTGAAATTTGTTACCATCAAATTTAAATCAAGCAATATCCGTGTTTATGCTAGTTCCAAAGTAGTAGCTAAATGTACTATATATATATATATATATATATATACTCAAATTAAAGTTAGATAATGTATGTTACATTCTAAATTACGATTTCTAGTATCTGTTGAAGCTACTCAAAATATACGTAATTCATTGTAAATAAAATTATGGGTTAGTATTACATGGAATGTAATGTATTGTTTTCGATAATTACAAAAGTATGATGATTGTTCTTCAAATATACATAAATGTAGTGTTGCAATGAAGTTTACTTGAGAGAGTACACTGTCAATTGTCCACAAAACAAGAGAATTATAATTTAAAAATATCTACATATAATCTTAAAGTATGTAAGAATAAATTATTAACAAATGTTATTGCAACAAAAATAATTGCCTCTGTTCTTTTTGTTGTTGAAGGGGTCTTCCACTCTATCCGTATCACTGTCTAATCAATTTCTTCTCATGGTCCTATATATTGCACGTATACAATATATAATTATCATTGCAACTACGGGAATTCCGAGAACAGCACAGAAGATTATTGCATAGTGTGTTCTAAAATAAACAACGTTTCCTATCAGATTTATTTGTCAATCATCATAATGTTGAGCTACAAATACATATGCAATTAATGAAATTTTGAGTATACTGTAAAGTGTAATTATATTCAATACTACACATAGTAAATAGAAATAATCTCTTTTGATCTTTTTTTTTAAAGAATTAATAACCATTTTCATATTTCGTTACAGGTAACCTCGGTTTAAAACAAAGTACTTGTATCGTCATAATGAAACATTATCTACAAAGAAATATTGACAAAACAATGATCAGGCTATGTACTCTGATTAAATGATTTTGAAATAAAGGTATGTTTTTGCTGTACAATTCTACCATATTAAAAGTCACATTGATATAAATTAAATGATATGAACACTTGATGATTTTCCTCCGTCCGAAACGTTTATCCGGATTTATCAGGAATGCTTGAACCTAACCATTTGAAAAGTAAGGATGCGTAAATACGCTGAAACGTTAGAAACCATATGAGCAAAACGGGCTGAGTTTGAGACTGCGTTTTTTGCTGTGTATTTGTTTATTTCATATTGTTGAAAGGTGTGGGGGAGGGTTCAGATCTAAAAAAAAAACATGTTTAACCACACCACATTTATATGTGTCTGTCCTAAGGCAGAAACCTCTAGCCTTTGTTAGTCTTGTGTTTTCTTTAATTTTTGTTCTTTTGTATGTTTCGCTGAACTTGTATGCATTATTGATTAGGGGCCAGCTGAAGCCCGCCTCAGGATGTGGGATTTTTCTCTCTGCGTTGAAGACCAATTAGAGGCCTTGTTTATCAAGAACGCTCAAACGTAAAAAAATGAAACAACCAGGGATCATTAAATACACTGAAATATTCGGATCTTTGTGACCAAAAATAAAATTCACCAAGCAGAATAGCCAATTCAACACAAGTCAATTTTGCAAAGGGGAATTGGAACATTGAATACTTGTTAATTCCATAATTCATGAACTAAGAATTTTACATAGAAATATCATGAATATGTTAGAAGTGTTAGAACAGAAATGTACTACTGAACCGATGATACCCTCAGGGAATAACAGTCTACCAGCTTCTGTATCGACCCACTGCTATTAAAAGAATGAGTTCGACATAACGTTTAATTGATTGATTAAATGATTGATTGTTTAGTGTTTCAGGACTAATGTCTAATTCTTGGCGGTCAGCTTTTATTGGTGAAGGAAGCCAAAGCTCCCGGCGATAAATACTTACCTGGAGCAGGAAAACTGACAATTCTAGTCAATTAAAATTTGTGTCGAACACTACTGCCACGTGAGGGATTCGAGCTCACAACCTCAGTGTTAATAGGCTAGTGATACAGTGGTTAATCTACGAAGACAACTCGGATACCGGAAAATTCCAGACTACATTTTTTAACGTCTGACTGATCGTTAAAGTTTGAAGTTGAAAGAATGTTTTACAGGACATTTTAGTACTTTATCAAGCCCATGTCTTGTTTCATAATTTTTATTAACGTCTGTTATGCATACTTAGAAAAGGAATGAATTCTTAAGGAACAAAAAAAGTAAATATTAGATCGCGGTTTTCCTAGATGTGCAATCATTGTTTATATCCCTTATGTTAAAAATATAAACTTATAAACCATTTGTGTGACGTCCAGGCTTGGGGTAATTGTAATTGCAATCATTAATCGATTATAATTTTTCAAGTAATCACTGTAATCATTAATCAGTCAAAAATCTTATTACATGTAACTTAATTTAATCAATTACTTTTCAACATACCTTGTAATCCTGATTACTTTTTGATTACATTCTCATTACAATGAAAAAATTCTCAAATTGTGTTTATGGTCAATATAATTATCATGTCTTAAACAAACATTTTTATTATTCAAATTTTAAAAAAAATATATGACTTGTTAATATAGTTTTGTTTTACTTTAAGAATGTCAAAATATTATGAAATATGGATATACATGTAATTTGATACCAACAAATGTTATTTTAATGATTTTTTTAAATTGCTTTGTGAGGACATCAAGGAAAAATGACTTGTGTAGTAAGTAAAACTCACTGGTATAGAAATTTAGTTTCTCTCATTCCAAAATCCTTTGGCAAAAATATGCTCAAGACTGGCCATATGCATAGTAAGTTCAGATCAGCATTTTTAGCTATATTATGTGTACAGTGAATTAGTTGATGATCATTGTAAAAAACATGAAAAAGGTTCAGATATGTAAAGTTTGAAGTTTTAATTTAATAACATATCAAATAAAATCCTTTCTGAAAAAGTGCTACAGTTATAAAAGAGGGACAAAAGATACCAGAGGGACAGTCAAACTCATACATCGAAAACAAACTGACAACGCCATGGCCAAAAATAAAAAGACAAACAGACAAATAATAGTACAGATGACACAACATAGAAAACCAAAGACTAAGCAACACGAACCCCACCAAAAACTGGGGGTGATATTACCTTTATTCATTATCATTATTCAAAAAGGTTATTTTGAAATTCATTGTAATAATATGTAATCATGATTACTGCCCATGTAATCATTATATTAATTAGTTACTTTGAGAAATGGTGTAATCATTATTTAAATTTAATCGTATAATTGACAAAGTAATTGTAATTTAATCAATTACATTGAAAGTAATCGGACCCATCTCTTGTGACGTCAGGATTAATTTGTTTTAAATGGATTTACACATGTATCGCTTCAAGAACAAAACTTACCCTGAATCATCTATACAGGTCTCATATCTTTTTCCCATTGGGTAGGTATCATAACAATATTTACCATTAGTTGGAATAACTGTAAAACATGATAAAAAGCTTAACGCTTAATTAACATGCATCGACAAACAGATATGTGTAGTTATTATCCCTGCAAAAATGAAACAATATGTTTGGTCTTAAGCTTTAAAAGTCTTGATACGCAATATCATTCTTGTCTTGCCGGCGACGAAAATTCGCAGTATGCGAGACATAGGTATTACTATCCGGTGGCGGCGGCGGCGGCGTAAACTATTTGCATAAAGCTTTATATTTCAGAAGGTAGAAGACCTGGATGCTTCATATCTATTTTTGCAGATACCTTATATTACGAAGTTTCCCTCAACCACTTGTCCATTGTCCTTGACCTCATTTTCATGGTTCAGCGACTGCTAAAAAAATTAGTTTTTTTGTCATGTGAATTACATTGTTATAAGTAATAGGATAACTATATTTGGTATATGGGTTCCTTGCAACGTCTATATTTCCGTTAGGCAGAGTTCACCTGACTTCGACCTCATTTCATGGATCAGTGATCAAGGCTAAAATTACGTGATTAGGTCCATTTCTCAAACACTAGAAGCAGTAGGTCAACTATATTTGGTGTATTGAATGATTGTAATAGGTACATTTCAGTTTGGCAGGTTTCATCTGCCCTTGACCTCATTTTCATGTTTTATTGGTCAATGTTAAGTTTCTGTGTTTTGGTCCGTTTTTCAAGTACTATAAGCAATAGGTCAACTATATTTGGTGTATGAAATAATTGTAATGGGTACATTTCAGTTTGGCAGGTTTCATCTGACCATGACCTCATTTTCATGGTTCATGGGTCAATGTTAAGTTTTTGTTTTTTGACTGTTTTTACGTACTATAAGCAATAGGTCAACTGTACTTGGTGTATGGAATGATAATAAGGTGTACCTGTCTGTCTGGCAGGTTTCATCTGACTTTGACCAGATTTTATGGTTCATTGGTCAATATTAAGTATTTGCGTTTTGGTCTGTTTTTCAATTAGCATACGCAATAGGTCAACTATATTTGGTGTATAAAGAATTGTAAGGTATGTATGTCTGTCTTACTCGATTTATCTGACCTTGACCTCATTGTCATAGATCTTTAAAAATGTTTAATTTCTGTAATTCTTTTAGCAAAACCTTTATCTTTAAGACTTTCAACATAAAATCAATGGTCAGTAAAGCAGGCGAGACATTTCAGCATGCGCACGCTTGTTAAATATATTACATCAGTTTGAATATAACGTCCACAACAAATCTTTAGACTATTTTTATACAACTTGATTGAATTAAATTTGACAATTAATGCATATGACATCAATATATTCCTTGTAGGCAACCGTTTTTTAGTAACCAATGTACAGATATGTAGTTAACAGACTTTTTGACTGTATAAGATAACCTTGTCTTGTATCAGGACAGTTCAAAACAGCCTTGAACAGGGTGAAAGTACCATTTGTTATGTAGTAAATATTAGGCTATTATTGTTTTGAAAATATACAACATTAACTAATTTCATAAGTGTTTGGTGAACATATTGACTACATATATTTTAATGAAACCGATACTGAAAATTACTAGGGGAACAGTTAAGTCTGCCTCATATCTTGACTATCATCGATCTAGAAAATAGCGACAAAACTTATTTCGACGTTTCAATTGTGAAGTTTTCATTTCGGTGTAGCAACATTCCTGAAGCGCCTGTATATGTATCTCAGATAACACCAAATTTTAGAGCTTGAGTTTTCCGTACACGATTGTCTAGAGGTTTACTGCCTCTCGTGCAGATTTAATAATTTTCAGTTCTTACTAGATCACATTAATTATCCCCTTATCTTAAATATAAATGAATTGAAGAACTTGATATTGATTGAAATATAAAATGCATGTTAGCGGTTTGTGTTTAACTGGGTTTCGATCTGTAAAAAGACAGATCAATGATATACTTTTATTTCTTATCGAAGTTTTATGTGTCCTTTATTTTTCTTAACCTATATTGTTTATATTTTAATTTTAGGTCTTCAATACTGTTGAATTGTGTACTTAATTTGACCTTTTTAATTATTTTTAGTTGTGCATCCCTGATGAATCTTTAGTAGACGAAACTCGCGTCTGGCGTACCAAATTTTAATCCTGGTATCAATGATAAGTTTATTTACAGCTATCGGGATTGTTTATTTTATAGTTATGTTAAAACTACATAACCGTGTTTTCAGCCTAAAGAGAATGATACATATATATTCTTATATTGTGTTTCCAAAAGAACAAGGGCGAGCATTTCGAGAAGAGATTAGCTACTTTCTGTGAAATTACTATCATTCGTGGAATAAAACTTTTTGTAAATGTTGCTAGAAGTTGTAAACCCCGAATTAAAATGTATGCGTGCTTCGGCAAATCAACGAAATCAAATATCGAAGACTACAAATGTTTTCCCTGTCAAATATAGCTGGTGCTCATGAAAATACACAAATCCACAATTTTCCATATCGTTAGTTTTTGGACAATTTATGTGTGTTGTACAATGATGAATACTATGCTACTGGAAATTTCAAACGATTGAAGAACAGAAACATCTGCACTAATGGTATTAGAATTAGGTTTTCTATTTATTCTTCCATATCAATGAACATTTTGGAGACAAATTTGAGTCAACAGATTGGTCTAGTTATCTCTTGTGTGTCTAATTTGCGCGTTTTAATGTTTTATACAAGAATTTTTGTTCTAAATTTGGTAAAAAAGAACGTTTGGATAACTATCATTATATGGCAATCAAAATGTAATCAAAGCAAACAAAATACTTAAACTAATTCTAATGCGACAGAATAAGTTTATCTATTTTCCTATGCATTTATACTAACATTTGAAATGAGGAACGTAACAAGATACTTATAGCTGTTTAAATGATGATTAAGTACTTAAAACAGCTGTCATAATATACCTTATCATAAGGAAAGTGGACAAAATATTTTGGTAATAATACATGGTTTTCAATCAAGAAGTATCAGTTTATACATTGATTAAAGTTAATGATTTGTTCTTATTATTGTTGTTGATTTCAATATATATAAGTCAATATTTGGAAGGTAATACAATATATCCATATGCTGTAGGTTTGGTGTAATGCAAATATGATAACGCTCTTTATGAAATGTTATATTTAAATCTATTGACTGCACATTTGAATTTAAAATATATCTTATCTCATTTCATTCCTCTATCAATAATCTAGTTGCGAAATCTAAAATAAAGCATTTACAATGATAAAGTTTTTACCGTAGCATTTACCATGATAAAGTTTTTACCGTCTTTATAGTACAATGTAAATATATTTGATTGCTAGCTTTGAAATAGCCAACCGCAATTTTCCAAAAATCGTTTTATCGTAACTGCAGGACTGAAGATAAATGAAAAAATATTTTACCTGGAAATCTTAGAAACACATATTCGGGAAGTCAGTTATGATTTAGCGAATCCATCCGAATAATTACCAGCTTTCTTTTCGAATAAGCTAATTAAGAGTAAATGATATGTTTGAATCGATATTGAACGTCTAACATTCTACATTGAGATTGTCGTTGTAAGAAATTAACGAATATTGAAAATAGGTAGGGTTAGGGTTGAGGAATTGACAAGGTTCGGGTAATTGACTGACAATATGTCATGGTTCTAATATGTTTGGCATGTTTCAAGTTTAAGTTTAACATTCTCATTTTATATCAATATGGATAAATATTTTGAAGGTGCCCGTAAATAACACAATTTAATAATGTAATTTATAATCAACAGATAATTTCTACAGACATTCGGTGCGAATAAGTTTAGATTCAGAAAGTTTTAGGTCTTTTTGACCAAGAATCGTTTATCTGTCTGTCTATTACAACATCTTTAAGATCTACAAATAGCGTGTGTGGGATCAGGAGTCATATGTCATATGTAAAACCTGAGAACTTTTACAAATATGCTTATCAAGACCCGGTATGATCCATGATAGAAGTTACTGAAAACAATGGAAATGGTATAAATTGTTTTACTGCCCACAAGGCCCCCTTTTAGAAACTAACGTTCGTGATATTTTTTTAAATAGTTGTATGCGCCACTTGAAGTTTCGGACAAAGAGATATTATAATTCTTATTTGAAAATCATGTGCCGCTACCTAAGTATGGATTTGTTTTTATTTTAAATGTGTGTAATATAAATGTTTGTTAAGTTTCAATTTATTTGTCCTATTTCTTAGATCATTTTTGTGAAGCGAAGATCATTTATCTTTTATTTCGTCAGTTTTTTATGGGCTCCTTCTTTCTGAATTGCTCATGGAGGTTGGTATATTCGTTATAACATTGTTTATCTTGTTTTATCTTTTTATATTCTATGATCAAATTTAACGAGAATTGTGTACGAATTACTTCTTAACTGTATACGTTTTACATTTAATGATTGATTGACTTCTGTTTGCTTAGCGTCCGTTAAACATACAAATATACTTAAAGTTTTAGTACTATATTATTTAAATAAAAGTGGGTTTTCTTGTTTACAGCATAATTTAGAAAAAAAACATGCTAAATTTGTAAAAATCAATGTTAATTTGGCGTTTAGTTTGTGTAATACTAGAATTACATTTGTAAAATCCTCTAGCAGAAAGCTGTAGTGAAAATGTTGGAATAATCACACTCTAAAGAAATCAAAACTTATATTTTTTGAAACTTTGATAGTGTAATTTGCTTATACTTAAAGAAATATCGATGACAAGATATCAATTGAATATGTATCTAAAGTGTAACTTTACAACAATTAAAATACGTACATAAAGGATAACAAAACATTGCAAAAATAGTCCATATATACATCGCGACACTATAATTCTTCTAGAACATCCGTACGAATATATTACCTGACAATGACTGATTTACTTGGCATGAAATCAAAAATGCATATATAGTTATATATATAGAGACATATTTCCGTGTATACATGGTATATATGACATAATTGATGTCCAATTACAATGTATTCGTACAGCAGAGCTATAGAAAAACATTACAATAACAGGTGTTACACGGAAACTTTTTTATGAATAGAGTCACTCGTGCATTCAGTGACTTCATAGGCAATTTATCGTACACCTTGTGACCTAATTACCTTATTTTATAAATATAATTTATATGAAAAGTGTTCATAAAAATTATATTTATAGAAAAAGCTAACTATGTCCCAAAATGCTGAAATTAAATATAAAGTGTCTACGAATTTACTGACCGGAAGAGTAATTGCAACCATAAATTTTTTCCAAACCTCTCGTTGTTTTTCTTAGCAGTTAAGCTGAAATCTTTCAAATCGTCTAAATCAAACTATACGGAGGATTTCCACTTTTCTCTACATGTTCAAGTAATTTGCTTACGTCGAATTGTGATACCTTAAAATTAGTCTCAACGTCATACAAACTACTACCCATTTTGGATATAGGGATGGAAAATGAAAAAAAATATTGTGTCACGTGATCAATACTTGGGGCTAAACGAATATCTGTAATGAGCATGAAACAAAAATAAATTGATTTCAAAAATAACATATACATGTTGTATTTACGTTTGTCTGATTACTTTTCTTATTTCACTTGCAAACGTAGTTGAATTTATAAATGTCTTAAATCAGTAATTCACATGTTTGTTGTTTATTTTTCTAATTTTTTTTTGGAGGAGGAGGAGGAGGGTAATAAGTTGGGGAATGTGGCAACTGTTTCCCCCCCCCCCTTTCAAAATGGGAGGAGGAAGCAAAACATATTTCTTTGTTTGGCTTTGTTTGTTTGTACGTATGTATGCTTTTTCTTAGTGTGAAGGGGTATATATAAATACAGTGGCGTACATTCAGGGAAAAGGGACCATACCGCATTACACACTTGCAAAGGTGAAGGGCAAAACTATAAGCTCCTCTCCAATTTTTGGCAATTTAATTTGTTATTAAAATGTAAAATGACTACTAACTTATTTCTACACTATAAGACTATTTTGATAGAAAATATAAATTTTTTTTTTTTTTTTTTTTTTTTTTGCTAGTCATTTTAAGAGAATCCCCCCTTTTCTTAACTGTCAATCTACTCCTACTTCACTGATATGTATCAAAGGAATAAGCAATAATTTTACTCGCACACAGCTTGTAGAATTGAGAAGCGCTAGTGTTGACGCATAATAGACTAAATATCTCCAAACATCATGGTACATAAACCGGAATGCACATTTTTTTGCGTTCAATCTTTTCAATTATGCAATCGTCTTGAATGCAAAATGCATTACTTTCTAATTAAAAACGTCGTACAAGTCAGATACAAAACAAAGTAACAAAATAAACGGGATGGTAGCAACCAGCCGTATAGTTTTTTTCTGCACTTGTAGTAAGGTTAAGGTCCTCGGCTATCGCTTCGGATTTGACCTCAATACTCGTGCAGAAAAACTATTTTGCAACGGCTGTTAGAAGCCTGTTTTTTGTTACCTTTGCTCTGTATTTAATACTTAACTTCATACTGACAGGAATATCCATTCAAGAGAAGCGGACGATATCAAAGGAATAGTCAAACCCAAGTCGAAAAACAAATGACAATAGCATTGCAAAAACGAAAAACGACCAATAGAAAAGCAACTCTGCAAAACATAAGACATAAACTAAAGACTGAGTAACAGTAACCCAACCAAAACCGGGTGGATCTAGGCGTTAGCATATCCTACCTATATTTTAATTGTATGTCCAATGATATTTTGTTATTTGTTGAATTCAGTAAATAGATGATATGTGATCATTGAGTAAATAATTTTCTATCTTTCCGTAGAAAGAAAAGAGAACTTATATTGGTTACTATAATTATAATGTATCTATAATTGTTTTCGTAGCTCTTTTGTCAGCGTTAACAATATCAACATATTCTTTTCATTTTTTTACATTACCAGGATGTTTCCAATTGTTTTTAAACAAATGTGATACGGTGTCTTATTAGTTTAATTTTAGAAATAAGTAATATATAAGTTACCTTTAATAGGAATCTCAACTGGCCTCTTTTAAATATTCTTCATTGTGACAATAACTCATTGACCATCAGTACGTTTGTCTTGTTGTCAGTTGTCTTTTGTGTTTGTTGCCGATTTTATTAGTAAAGTACTTTGCGTCTTATTTGAACCCTTTTTTGGCTGTGCTGCTACACCACTGTCCAATTCAATATTGTCGATGATTACCGTCGGTCATATATGATTTTTCGTTTATTGTTTTATCATAAATCAGGCCGTTGCCGTCAGCTTTATAATCTTTAAATTGAGATCAAGGTGAGAATTCAATTTGCCGTTTCAGATTTTAACTTTTACTTAATATTGCTTTCCTCTGAAACTGTACGAGAATAACATGTTGCAAAGTGTTTGGGATATTAAGGCACACATTAACATATAAGAAATAAAGCAATTTCATCATATCTCTTTGCGTTATTGTTGCTGAGTTGTAAATCAAAGATTAATTGATTATTTTTTTTTCTAACTGATACATAATAATGGTTTTTGCAAACTGATGAAATGGGTGTGATTTAAACAATGTCATCCGGAGTTGACGTTAAGCAAATCATAAATTATTTTGATTGCCAATGAGAACTATCCAACAAAACGTGTATAAAAGCATTTGTTGTATACCGCACCTTATTTTGTTTATTAAGTATTTGCTTACCAAAATTAAACTTATTTGTGACTTGACTATGAAGATAAGAATTTAAGTAGGACTTCATTGTTTCATTTCTGTTAGACGTCGAGTCGAAAAACGAAAATAAATAAAACAAACAAACAAAAAACAGACCTGTATTTTGTAGTAGATTGTTTTATTAATCATTGTTTTATGTCTGTCGACTAGGACGGTACAAAGTAACACGGTTTTACAATTTCTGTTCATCTTGGCATCGGATGCCTCAATGAAACTAATGACTTTATATCTCTTTTTAATTCACAAATTAAATGTTCAACTTGAAATCGATATGAGCGACAATGCAATTTTAATTTCTTCTCTTTCTCTTTTAATTATTCGGCTTACTGTGCCGTTGCTAGACCTGGTCCCCGGCAACCAGATGCCGTAGCTGACCAGAGAGAGGAGCGGAAGCTGATGAATTGCCTGGCCCTAAAGAACCTCACGTGGTAATCAGCTGCAGTACAACAAATTCATAACAGAATAGATACCATGATTTTGAAAGGCCCTTAGCGTCTCTTCTGATTCAGTATCAGATTCAAATCGTTATATTTTGTTTCCGTTTTCTTGCTATTCTTATGACTTCCGCAGAAGGGAATAAAATCACACAGTGCTACATATAAAACAGACAATACTAGTTTAATTGGATCTAGACCTACCTTATATATGGTCAGAAATGAAATTTATAAACCACTATACTGGGGAAAAAAGGATAAAAGAGTAGAAAAACCAAAGCTATGTCCTGAAAAGGGGCAGGGTGAGCAGTTTTCGCTTCTTGCAAAACACACGAAGGTCATTTTTCGGGAACAGGGAAAGGAATCTACGACAAAAGCACACGTTATGTTGCCTTTCGGGACAGGGACAACCTATAACGGCCAATCAGTTTAAAAAGACAGTGCAATGACAACAAGCTCTGTTGCGATATAAATATCATACGCATCACTGGAGACACAATACTTGTGAAAATGCGCATGTGGCGCGGACTTGAAAAAATGGTGCCGTAGCTGATTCCAATTCATTAAGGAAACGCATCATCTTTAACATGGTATCTTGAAGCGGAGTAGTCCTACGTTTCTAAGTTATCGATATACCCATTTCCGTTTATCTTTACCCCAGTAGGCGTTTACCCCTCCCAAAACTGAATGTGTACAACAAGTGACATGAAGATCGGTTGAAAAACACAACTCTAGCGGACGGACGGACAGTCCTATTACAATATAAAAATAATGTGATGTGATATAATTGCCAATGAGACAACTATCCACCAAAGTTGTAATGATGTGAATCGAAGCAAATATAGGCAACTGTAAGGCCTTCGACAATGAGAAAAACCCGTACCGTATAGTCGGCTATAAAAGTATGAAACATTTCAATTGAGAAAACTAAAAGCCTAATCTATATCAAAACAATTTAAGAAAAAACAAATATGACAGACACGAACCAACGACAACCACTGAACTATAGGCTCCTGACACGGGACAAGCAATTAAAGAAAGTGGCAGAGTTGAATATTATTGTGAGCGCTCAACCCTCCCCTAACCTGGGACAATGGTTTAACAACACAACATAAGAACCAGCTATAAATATGTTCCTCCTTCAAATTTCATAAATAACATTACAAAAACGAAATCATCGCTATTGGAACAATCTGTGTTGACAGACACTCTTATTTAAAGGAACGATCATTGAGCTTCAAAGGGGGGTATGTTTTTTTTCCTAACAAAATATTCTGATCCCCAATTTGATGAGAAAAAAAAATACTGTGGTCAACCAGATGAAAAAAAAATATTCTGAATCCAGCATTTCCTCCTACCATATAGTGTTAAATTTTGAAAAAAGTAATTTGATAGATAGCGTCTAAAAACTAAATAAAAACATGACACTCCCCTTTAAAGTTAAATGGCTGATCCCTAAATACTCACATGAAATTTAACAAGAAACAAACTTTAAAAGGCAGATAACAATGTGAAGTAATTACAAACTATTTCCTTAAAAGTTTAATCATTTCAACATAGAATGTTGTATAAATACAATATTGAGAAAATAGAAAGGTATGATTCATATTTGCTTGGAATATGTTTTTTCGTCAAAATATTGCAAAATCGATAAATCGAAGTTGTAAACGTAAAATTTTCCATGAATTATTTTTACTTTTGAGACGACCCCTCCATTTTACATGTAAACTGTAGGTGTCATTAGT